TGTGTGTGTGTGTGTGTGTGTGTGTGTGTGTGTGTGTATCCTCCTGAACTAGGAATTTTCTCTTTCTAGTGAATCTTGTCTGGAAGTTTTCAAATGTCCTCTATACCTTCAATGTCTCCCTCTGTACTGGATCATTCCATCAACCAGCAAACAGAGAAACTCCTGACTCTGTCCACAGAGGCACACGCTTACCTCATCTTCATACCCACTGCCATCTGCTCACCCGACAAATGATCCAGCATCCGAGTTCCCTTCACACCTAAACTTGTCAAGGTAGCTGCCCCACACAAACACTGTCCCTGATGTCACTGCCTCCATGTCTGCCACCTCTACAGCTCACCAAGCTGTCTTTCCTTAGTGTTACCCACAACTACAGACAGATCCTTTTAAACTTTTTAGTCCACTTGCTGTCTCTCCTTCCTTCCTACAGTTTTTGACCTTGTATTCACTTCTCCCTCTTGCTGACTGGCTTCTTCTCCTATACCAAATGGGTAAGTGTTGGACTTCCCGTGATCCAAAGCCCAATTCTCACATTTCTTAGAAACTCATACCCAAGTCAATTTATGTCTTCCCATTAAATTATCTGAGTTTTATTACTTGCTCTTGGAATTGGTAACTGCAGTTAACATCTCTGAACACAGAAAGTGGCACTTAGAAGCACAAGGCGTGGGCCTGTGTACCTGAGGCTTTCTACAGAGATCTCTGGCCAGACCAGGTGGGAGGGTTCAAGTGAAGGAGAAAGGGCCTGAGCAGGGAAGGGGAATTGTCTTCGCTGCCTCCACTGCAGTTGCTGCCTCTGCTGCTGCTATTACTGTTGTTGCTTTGAAACACCGCACTAGCTGTGATGTGCTGAGGCAGCCAGCCCAGAGTGAGCTGGTGGAAGGCTGACTAGTCAGGGAGGAGGTATAGGGGAGCTTCTGCTGGCCTTTCAGGAGAGCAGTTCTCTTCCCTGGTGGTGGTGTTACAGCTCTTATGACAGAAGCTCTCAGATGATGGAGTAATTCTCACACACCTTTATTCCTTCTGCATAGGATTCTTATATACAGTTTTGAAGTGGGTTGGAGTCTGGCAGTAGGTACTTCCTATTGGCTTGGTCTGAGAGGTTAGGGATGCCTCATTTACATGTGGTAGGGCTTGGGGTGTTGTCCCTATGTGACTGATGACCATAGTTCTGTCTAGGGAAGGGGGAGCAGTTGCAGGGGGGCGGGGGCACAGCAGTTACGTGACAGGGGCCTGGTACCTGGAGCAGGCAAAGCTCTTACTGTCCCTTCAGGGTCTCTAGGGCTTCTAGTCTTAGCTCAACCTTACCAGGCTTCTCATGGTACACTGCCCTACAACAAGGCACCTCAAATATGTGATCGCTTATAGTAGTCTTCCCATGTTAACTAAAAACCGCTTCTCACCAGTAAGGGCTAGCACCAAACCACCCAGGGGCTCAAGCTCCAATCCACGGTGCTCCCTTTAATATGCCTCCTTGTTCATGACTAGTGGTTGGACTATCACAGTTTCAACATCCAGAATGAATCTGAAATCCACCTACTTTTCTCCACTCTGCCAACACCTTGATGTGAGTCACTGTTAGGTCTTCTCTGGACAATTTCCACATCTCCTTATTAGAATTTCAGTTTTCTGTAAACTCCCCCACCCTAAAACTCTCAAGCCTTCCTGCTGACTTTTCAAAAGGTAAGAATTCATTGGCCCCATCTCCGGAGTCCTGGGTGACTTGCCCATGCCTAGTCTTCCTGTCTTGCCTTGGGCCGCTCGGCCCTTGTGCTGGTGCAGTATGTCTTTCGGGTCTCTGAACACACAGTTTCTTTATGCCCAAATGCCTTTACATGTCACATTTTCCCTGTTTCTTATGGGCATTATGACTAATTTTTCAGGTTTTCATTCAAACATCACCTCCTTAGAGAGAAGGTGTTTCATCCACCGACTTATGGATACAGTTCTGTTTCTGTCTCTGTATTCATTAAAATGTGTAGTTCTATTTGTGTCTGTTTGTTTACTTATCTTTCTTTTCCCTTCGACTGAACTCTTAGAGGTAGTGCCTAGCCCTGTTATAGGCACCAATTCATATCTAGTACAGGGAGAAATGCTGGGCCCCTCATATCCCTGCAGCAGGCCTGCGTCCCATCCAAAATTGTTCATGGCACTCCCAGCCTCTGGTGCTCTTTCCCTATACTCATAGAAATGTCCACTGAACAAGCAAATGACTATATGGATGCTCACATTTTAAAAAACTCACAGATTTTCACAACTTCTGTGCTTGCTGACGTTTTCTCCTTCAGCTTAGTTCTTCATCATCATCATCATCATCATGGATAGACTAAGGAAGACATAGAAGTCTGGTGAGCTTGACTTTGACAGTGTGTCCTTTTCGTTTTAACTGCCCTTGTCTGTCTGGCATGGGACTGGCTTCTTAAATTTTCACTTCTATCCCAAGGGCATATGCTGTGAGTGCTGCTGCTGCTGCTCTAGTGGAGGTGGCTGAGGTGACCGAGGTGGCCGAGGTGGCTGCTGCAGCTGCCTGTATTGCTGTTTCTGCTTCCATCTCTTCTAGTGTGTCACCTTACCACTTGCGTCTGCTTCAACCACATTGACTTTCTCTTCATTTTCTGCAACCACTGGTGAACTTTCACAGTTTTTACCCAGTGCTGTCAGCAGCGGCAAGAGCCTTCACAGATATTTCTTTCCCATTGCTACTAAGGAGCCAGTGTGAGCATGGCAGTGTTGCCAGCCTCAGAACCTTCATGCTAGGTAGAGAATCATTTGGTACCAGTGGTGCCATCCATGAAAACCAAAGTTTGCCTGAGTTCTTCAGAGCCCTTAGCAGCAAAAAAATATCATGTAGAGAACAAATCTCTCTCCCCTCTATCATGCAGCCTGTTAGCTGAGTACCAAAGCTTCCTATCTTCGACTTGTCCTATCTATAATATCTTAGAGGTTTTCAAATTGGTTTTCGTGACCTTAAGAAATGGATGTCAAAGCCCAAAATAGTTATACAATATTTTAATTATTTTTGTCTTCAAGTGTTGTTGCATATGAAAACAATAAGATCCACATATTGTATCTATATTCTGTAGAGTGGTCATCTTAGGACCAGTACTCCACCGTGAGAATAAACATGTCCAGTTTATCAACACAGACACAGTTACACTAGGAAATAGTATGCAAAGTTTAGGGGAAGTTGTGAAAGGGTGGGGTAAATATTGGATCTTCCCACAGACATGTGAAATAAGCACGAGCAATTTGTGAAGATTTCAAGTGACTGTCACCCTCACCCTCTATGGATCTCCTCTTTCTGTGTATCAGATATCGGCCACTAGTCAAGGCTATATGCTTTTAAGCAGAATTGTAACAATGAGAATTTTTTTTAGTGTTAAGATCTCAAAAAGAGGCCGGGCGGTGGTGGCACATGCCTTTAATCCCAGCACTTGGGAGGCAGAGACAGGAGGGTTTCTGAGTTCGAAGCCAGCCTGGTCTACAGAGTGAGTTCCAGGACAGCCAGGGCTACACAGAGAAACCCTGTCTCGAAAAAAAAAAATCTCAAAAAGACCTTTTAACCTTTAAAAATGGCCAACATGAAAAACATAGTCAGGTAGACTTTAGAAAGCCTAGTCATTGTCTTCCTGGTTTGTTTTGTTTTGTTTGACTATTTTCACACAAAGACATGTGCACTCCAAAATTGGGCTAAGAGACCAACCCAAGCTCTTGACACCACAAGGTATTCTGACTCTTCCTCCGACTCTGCCCTACCCCACTTCAGCACAAACACACAGCTGAAATGTTTGAAAGACTCCTTCAGATGAATCTCTTCCAGAAGGCTATTCTTTTAAACAACCTCCCACTCACCCTTATGCTTGCCCCTCACTGCCCCTGTCTTATTAGGGTTTCTCTTGCTTCAGCAAAACACTATGACCAAAAATGAAGTTGAAGAGGAAAGGGTTTATTCAGCTCACATACTTCTACAGTACTGTTCATCATTAGAGGACATCAGGGCAGGAACTCAAATAGGGCAGGATTCTGGAGGTAGGTTGGTGCAAAGACCATAAAGGAGTACTTCTTACTAGCTTGTTTCCCCTGCCTTGCTTGCTCAGCCTGCTTTCTTGTAGAAGCCAGGATCGCCAGCCCAGGGATGGCACCACACACAATGGGCTGGGCCCTCCACCTTCAATTGCCAATTAAGAAGATACCTTACATCCAGATCCTATGGAGACATTTTATCAATTGAGGGTCCTTTCCTTCAGATAACTCTAGTTTGTGTTAAGCTGATATAAGACTAGCCAGCACAGCCACAAACCCCCATAGATGTTCCCACCACAACTTCAGTTCAATCTGGAATCTCCACTGTCCTAACTCCAGCAATGAGCAAATGACAAATAATAATGGAAATGCATCAAATAAAGGATTGGTTTCATGGAGTGAATTAGAGAATTAAGTTGCCTGACTTTGGGGAAACCTTCGCTTGTTCACAAGATGACTTGGAGGGTAAGAATGTGCTTTCTCCTTTCAGATGACAGAAGAAAAAACAAAGTCAGAAAAGGACAAAGGAAAAGGGAAGTCTCCAAAGGAGAAGAAGGCCACCAATGCCAAGGCTGGGAAGGGAAAGAGCAAGGACCAGCCTGAGGCCACTGTAGCAGTGAGGAAGACCACACAGTTAAAACGGAGGGGAGAAGAAGACGAAATCAAATCCTACATCGGTCAGTGTGTACATTGTCTTCCACCTCTTGCTTTATAGACCAGAACAGGGCTGAAAGAGTCACCTCTATAATTACACCCTATCATCCCTAGCCTTTTTATTATAAAGCCACAAAAAACTCACGCTCGGTGGCACTCAGATTGAAGAAATATTTCTGTTTGCAATCCATGTATGGTTTTAGCAATTTTTTTTTATTATTGTCTTGATGAGAATGTAATGGAAAGTCAGCTGTAATCATAGGCAAACTGAAAGTGAGCCAGCAAGATAGCTCCTGAGTAAAGATGCTTGCTCTCAGTCTTGACCACCATCCCCAGGCTTCTCATGGTGGAAGGAGAGAACCAACTGCCACAAGTTATCCCCTGACCTCCTCAGGTGCGTTATGGCACACACATGCATGACTGTGTATGCACATGTGCATGCATGCACTCGAGTGCACACACACATACTCACACAAAGATGAGTTAGTGGAATAAAAGCTGAGTCACGTGAGAAATGAAATCTAATTATTTGAGAGGCATATGTAGCTCATAGCTTCTTCTTTTTAAACTATCCAGCATATTCGTATGTATTTATTTATTTACATTCCCATTGCTGTTCCCCTTCCCTGACCCACTCCACAAAGTTCCTTCCCCCACCCCTCCCCTTCTCTTCTGAGAGAGTGGGGCCTCCCCTGGGTATCCCCCTATCCTATCACATCAAGTCTCTGTAGGGTTAGGCTTGTCCTCTCGCACTGCCGACAAACTAGGCAGACCTATGTATCAGGGTGGGGAAGGGGGGCCAGTCTAACCCACGAAAGAGCACAGCTTCTTGACTCTACTTTTCTCACAATCATTCTGTCTTCAGCAGACCAAACAGAACTTCGTTCTGTCTTAAATGACTGATGACAAAAATGGGTCATCTTCGGGAGTTACTTGTGATTCACTGCTGCTTTTCTCCAAGTCTAGACAGAACTACCTGTTACTATCTTTGTTTTATTTGTTTGTTATTTGCAATCAGTAGACTTGATTCTTAATTTCTTTCAACACTTTTGATCTTTACTGTGTCTAAATTAAGTAAGAGAGACTGACTTTTTTATTTTGCATCTTTTATCAGTTCATCCCTCTCATGTACCTCTACTCTAAACATAATATGCCCAGAAACAATGACTCTGTGCTCTCCATAGTAGATACCAATGCTGATCAATTTCGTGATTGGGAAGAAATAATTACATGAAATTAAAATGTGAGCATCTGTTGTATGGCATGTACATTGGCCTTACTGAGCGGCACTGTAAAAGTTCTTATGCAGGGTCTGCTCTAAAGCAGGACAATTACTCTCACACCAGATTCACTCTCACACCGGAACATGGTAGTCTAAGAGATCCTCATGTTTTAATACTCATAAGAAGCATTACCAGGAAAAAGAGAGGAGAGAACTACTTTTTAAAGTATATACTGTGTATGTCTTAAAATGGAATGCAGTATAGCTGCTTTACCATTGATGCACAGTGTTCTCGCTACCCCGACATGAATTCATTCAGTGCTATGCTACAGAGCACATCCACAGTATTTCCTTATCCTGTAAACACCTCTACTTATAAAGTACCAGAAAGCTGCAGCTACTTGTAACTCGGGAGTCAAGCCAGATGTTGCTGAAACAAGATTAGAATCAAAGGGAACTACTTACAGGTTAAAACTCTGACAAAAGCCCAGGCACCATTTTCCATGGCCACAGACTCCATGTGTGTTGGCCCTCCTAATATGTCTATGTCTCGTTTGCCAACATGATTTAATATTTTGTAAAATGGCCACAGTCTCTTTACTGGAAGAGCAATAATGAAAAACAGTCAATAGGCCTGCATTCCAGCCAACTGCCTGGGTCTTGGCAAGCCAGAGAGATTACGAACGCATGCATAATTGAGTATTACCATTGATTTGCCTGGGGACAACCTGTTCTACCTAACAATGATAGCTGACCTTCTTTATGGTATTTCCAACAGATGATGAGCCAGACGATGGTGCCCAACATTACATTATTGTTGTGGGCTTCAACAATCCTCAGCTATTGGCCATTATGACTGAGCTTGGCATTCCTATAACCAGTGTGATTAAAATATCTTCAGAGAATTATGAACCTCTGAAGACACACCTGGCAGCAGCGAGGCAGCAGCAGGAAGCTGCCCTTCAGCCAGAAGGTATGCAGTTGGCTATAGAGCTTACAGAGACCATCAATATTGCCCTTGCCCCTCAAGTACAAATGCAATCTGCTATCGGAAACATGGTTATAAAACATGCATGTTATTAAATCCTTTCAAGACTGATTTGCTATTTATTCTGCCTATATCAGCCAAGAGCTATAAATTTGGCAAATTAAAATCATACTCTGTGCTTGTATCCCTGTGTAGTCACAGAAAACATAGACTGCAGGTCAGAAGACATGGAAACTCAACTATTACTTCTCAGTCTTTTAGCTGAGAGCAAATGCGGTTCCACAACTATATTTTTCAGGAACTTTGGCCTGTAATGTTTAGCCAAAGCCTGGGCAAGATAAATATTTGTTAAGATTCTTTTCTTTCAAATGGAATAGTCGCCAAATAGATTAGATAAGATCACACAGTTGGATTAGTGTGTGTGTGTGTGTGTGTGTGTGTGTGTTAATGGGGAACAGAGGATGGTGTTGGACCATTTGGAACTGGAGTTACATGGGTGCTAGGAACCAAACTCAGGTCTTCTGGAGTAATGGCAAGTGCTCTCAACTGCTGAGTTACCTGTCCAGTTGGGTTTTACATGTTAGCAATTCTATACATATTACTAATGCTTTGTGATAAAAGTCAGAGAAAACATTGCATGTTCCAGGTTTAAACTGGGAAATTAATGAGATGAAACCCCAGCCATTTTGAGCATTGGGGTCTTTATCTCATGGAACTGTGCTAGTTTACTTCTATGGGAAAGAAACAGAAAACTACTGTGCCCTTCAAGTAACAGCACTGAGAATCAGTGCCAATCTGTGATTCCAGGAGCCAAGTTATTCTTACTATATGTGTTAATTTTCATGTTATCATCAATATTTTCACCATGCCTTTTAACTTACACAGTCAAATATCGATTTCCTTCTATCTTTCCCCAAAGTTAGAAATCACAACAACTGATAATAATATTAATAATTGCCATTTATGGGTGCATAATTTGGGGTCTGAGCTCAACGCTAAGAGCTCTAAACATATTGATTTATATAGTTTTCACCACATTCCAAGGAAGTATATATTTTAATTAAAAAAATATTTTCATAAAATACGTTTTGTGAGTTTTCCCTCCTCTAATCCCTTAATGATCTTCGTACCTCCCCATCTACCCAGATTATTGTCCTTTACTACTCTCTTCAAAGGAAAACAAAAAACCACAAAATACACACACAGAAACTCAACAAAAAAAAAGCAGTAATCAAAATCTTGCTTTTATAGTAAGAGACCAATAAGACAAAAAGTCACCCTCCCCCGAATGTAAAATGAAACAAAAAGTCTACAAAACTACCATTGAAATAGTTTTGTGTCGGCCAACTACTCCTGAGTATGGCGTCTGTTATGAAATGTCAGTATACCTAGTAAGATGCAGTTGGAGAAAACTGGTTTTTCTTTTACCAGTTGGTATCAACTACAGATAACTTCTTGGTCTGGGTGAGGCCCAGTGTTCACATCCCCATTTCAATGCAGGGACTTTACCTGGCTTAAACCATTGCAGGCACTGTGCATGCTGCCACAGTCTCTGAGAGTTCATATTGCATCAGTCTCCTGTCAGGGAGACACTGCTTTCTTAAAGTTAACCTGTTACCTCTGCATAGATCTCTGGATCTTGAGGAAAGCTAGTTGATGAAACCATCTCATTCAATACCAAGTGATCTAAAGTTTCTCACTCTCTTCACATTGTCCAGTTGTGAGTCTCTGCACTAGTTCCTACCTACTACATGGCATTAATCTATGTGTATAGAAGAATGTCATTAGGAGTAATTTTATTGCTGTGTTCTCTTAGCAGAATAATAGTGTTACGTTTTCCCCTAGGCCCGTGGGATATATCTAGTCTTGGTTCCTGACCAGCTTAGCAGTGTCGTGTATAGACTCCACTTCATGGAATGGACCTTAGATCCAATCAGAAAGTGGTTGGTTGCTACCATAACACTCATGTCACTAGTGCACACATATATCTCACAGCCAGGTCACTGTTATGGGTCACAGGATTTGTCTGGGATGAAACTTCCATTTAGGCACCAGCTCAACTACTCATATTGGATGATGTATCTAAGTGTCCTCTGCAGCAGTACATTGTAGAGAGTAACCAATAGCATAGTCAATAGCTTATGATGTTCAATGGTTACCCTCTGGCCAACAACTAAGCAAGACATACTCCATCCTTGGCACTGAAGATGTTACCTGATGGTATAAGATATCCAGTTGGGGCATTGTCTCCTTGGTGAGTCTATTTGGATTCCTTTCATATACATATATATCTTAGGGAGTTTCTTCTGGAGTATGATTACAGATGGATTTTTCAAACAGCTTTTAATGTTGGTTGTCCCTCCCTGTATTCCTTCCTTTATATTTCTCTCCCATCCCCTCTCTATTTTATACTGCTAATCTAGTTTATCTATTGTTTCTACATTATATTCTTATTTCTCATTTCTTGAGAGACCCTGCCTTGCCCCAGTCCCTTACTAAATACCTAACCTCTGTGGTTATTCAGATTATAGCACAATTATCAAAGACTTAAAAGCTAAGATTCACATATAAGAGAAAATATACAATATTTGTCTTTTAGAATTTGAGTTATCTCACACAGAATGATTTTTTCTAGCTCCATCTATTTAGCTAAAAATTCCATAATTTCATTTTCTTAACAACTAATATTCTATTTTGTATATATACCACATTTTCAATATCCATTTATCTGTTAGTGGGCATCTAGGCTGTTTCAAATTCTGGCTATTATGAATAGAGCATCAGCAACATTGATGAGCAGAGTGTCTCTGCAGTGGGAGGTAAAGCCCTTTGTATCTATTCCCAAGAGTGACATAGCTGAATCTTGAGGTCTACCTATCACTAGCTTCCTGAAGAACTTCCACAGTGATTTACATAGCAACTATTCAAGTTTCACTCCACCAGTATCCTTAGTGTGTTCCTCGTTCCCTGCATCCTTACCAGCATATGCTATTTTTTTAACCAATCTTGGCCATTCTGACTGGTACAAGATAAAATCTCAAAGCAGTTTAATTTGCATTTCCCTAGGGCATAAGAATGTTAAGCATTTCTTTCAGTGTTTCTCAGCCATTTTTTGTTGTTTTTTTTTTTCTTTTAAGAACTTTCTGCTTAGTTCTGTGGACCATTTTTAAATTGGGTTATTTGTTTTCTGAATGTTCAGGGTTTCTTACTTGTTTTTTTGTTTGTTTGTTTTTGTTTTGTTTGTCTTTTCATTCTCTATATATTTTGGATACTAACCCTCTATCAATGGTACAATTAGTAAAGATCTTGTTTCATTCTGTAGGTTGTCATTTTTCTGAATGATGGCACCCTTTCACACAAAAGTTTTTCGGTTTATTGAGTCCACACATCTTGTTGTTAGTACTTGTGCTACTGGTGTCTTTTTCTTAAAAGCCTTTCCCGTGCTAATGAGTTCAAGACTATCTTCATTTTCTCTTCTATAAGATTTGGTATGTCTGCCCTTACACTGATGTCCTTGATCCATTTAGAGCTGGGTTTTTTTGTTTGTTTGGTTGTTGGTTGGTTTGGTTTTGTGTTGTTTTTGCAGTGTTATAAGTATGGATCAATTTGCATTCTTCTACGTATGGCCATTCAGTTTGACTAGTACCACTTGTTGAAGATGCTGTCTTTCCACTGTGTATTTCTAACTTCTTTGTCAAAAACCAGATTTCCACAGGTGTGTGAACTTATGTCTATGTCTTTTATTAGATTCAATTAATCAGCATGTCTATTTTTATGACAGTACTGTATGTTTTGGTTATTGTAACTCTGGAAGACAACTAAAAATCTGAATAGTATTGCTTCTGGCAGTATTGGTTGTTGTTGTTGTTGTTGTTGTTAAGTTGTTAGTAAGGATAATTTTAGCTACCCTGAAATATTTTGGGTTTCTATATGAAGTTGAGAAATGCTTTTTCAATTTCTGTAAAGAATTGTGCTAGAATTTTGATGGGGATTGAGTTGAATCTGAAGATTATTTTGATAGGATGGCCATTTTAGGTACATTAATCCTACCAATCCTTGAACATCTTTTAATCTTCTGATATCCTCTTCAATTTCATTCTTCTTAAGGTTTTTATTATACAAGTCTTTCACTAGCTTGGTTAAAGTTTTCCAAAGATGATATTTAAGCTATTGTAAAAGTTATTGTTTCCGGATTTCCTTTTCAAACCATTTGTTATTTGATCATAGGAATGCTGCTGATTTTTGTGTATTCATTTTGTATCTTGCTACTTTGATGAAGGTTTTTTATCAGCTTTGGAAGTTTCCTGATAGAATTTATAGGGTTGTTTATGTATAAAATTATGTCATCTGCAAAGAAAGAAACTTTGCCTTCTTTCTTTCTTGTTTTTATACCTTTGATCTCCTTCAGTTGTCTTATTGCTCTATCCAGGACTTCAACTACTGTATAAGATAGATACGGAGAGAATGGACATCCTTGTCTTATTCTTGATTTCAGTGGAACTGGGTTGAATCTCTACTTACATTGGCATTGACTATGAGCTTGCTGTTTGTTGCTTTTATTATGTTGAGATATGTCTTTTGTATCTCTCTAGGATGTTTATCATGAAATTGTACTAGATTTTGTCAAAGGCCTTTCTGTATCTAATTAGATGATCATGTAGTGTTTTTTTCCTTCATTCTGTTTGTGTGGTGGATTATATTTATTAATTCATGCACGTTAAACTATAACTATATCTCTAGGATGAAATCAGCTTGATCATGGTTCATAATCTTTTTAAAGTATTTGTTCTTAGGTTCAGTTTGAAAATATTTTATTGAGAATTTTGCACCTATGTTAATAAAGGGATATTGGCCTATACTTTTCTCTTTTTGATGAGTATTTTTGTAGTTTTGGTATCAGGGAAATAGTGGCCTTATTTTTAAAAAATGAGAAATGTTCCTTGTATTTCTATTTTGTGGAATAATTTGAAAGGTATTGGCATTAATTATTCTTTGAAGATATGGTAGAATTCTGTGGTGAATCTATAGGCTCTGGGATTTTTTGGGTTGGAAGACTGTAAATTACTGTCTACTACTACTTCACTGGGATGTTGTGAGTCTATTTGAATTTCTTATTTGCTTTTGATTTATCTTTGGTATGTTGTATATATCAAGAAAATCACTCATTTCTTTTAGTTTTTCTAGTTTGATAAAGTGTAGATTTCTTTAAGCCAATAGAAAGTCTTTATTAACTGACCACTGACTATACTGAGGTTTTTTGGATAATAGTGCAGCCCCAAGCCTTTCTCAAGGTGAGCTTCTAAGCGCGCGCACACACACACACACACACACACACACACACACACACAAACCCATATTCTGGGATGACATACTTCAGTTAACAAAAACAGTTAGCTAGAGCAGAACCACAGAAGCCAGAAAACAAAGCTAGTTAATTTAGAGACTTTCTCAGAACTATAGACTTTGATGGATTAAGTCTTCAGTTTTGGCAGGTGGTACTGTCTAGTTTTATAGCCAGAATTGTATTTTCATCATGGAGTCAGTTGTACTAAAGAAAATTTACCCACTGTTACTGTGTGAGAGTCAATATGTGATTTTAGCTATAGTTTCCTTTCTTTTATGAATTTGTATACCCTTGTGTTTGGTGCACAAATGTTTAGGATTGCAATCTCCTCTTAGTATATTTTTACTTTGATGAATGTGTAGTATCTTTCTCTACCTCTTGTGATTAATTGTGGTTTGAAGTATATTTTGTCAAATATTATAATGGTGACACCTCCTTGTTTCTTGAGTCTACTTGCTTAGAGCACATTTTCCCATCCTTTTATTCCACTGTGATGTCTATCCTTGCTGGCAAAGTATGTTTCTTAAATGCAGCAGAATAGATTCCATTTTATAATTTGGTCCATTAGACTGTGGCTTTTAATTGGGAAATTAAGACCATTAATGATGAGAGTTACCAATGAGCAGCATTATTATTTTGTTGTTATAGAGCTCCCTCCCTTTCATTTACTGTTGTGAGAGTACTCCTTGGGTCTTTTTATGTGTGGTTAACCTCTTCAGACTGAAGTGTTTTTTCTAGTGCCTTCTGCAGCACTGAGTTGGTAGACAGAAGTTGCTTTGAATTTGGTTTCATTGTAAAATGTTTGATAACTTTGCTGGGTATAGAAGTCTGAGTCTATCAGAGTTGGTCAAATACCCTTCCAGGCCCTTCCGGCCTTCAGAGTCTCTACTGAGAAACCATGTGTTATTCTAATGGATCTACACTTACATGTTACCTGGCATTTTTCCCTTGTAGCTTTCTTTGATGTATATATATAGTTAGTGTTTTAATTAGTATGGGTCATGGGAAATTTCTTTTCTGGTCATGTCTTTTGGTGTCCCATATATGCTTCTTATACTTTGATAACCATCTTCACCTTTAGACTGGGAAAGTTTTTTTTTTTATAATTTTGTTAAAAACATTTTTCTGTACCTTTTAACTAGGTTTTATCCTTCTTCTATCCCTATTATTCATAGATTTGTTCTTTTCATAGTGTTCTAGGTTTCTTGGATGTTTTATGCCTGAGTTCCTTTAGATCTAACATTTTCTTTGACTGAGGTATCTATTTCTTCTACCTTTTCATCTGAGATTCCTTCTCCAATGTCTTGCATTCTGCTGGTGAGGCTTACTTCTATGAATTTTGTGGAATGTCCTAAATTTTTCCTTCCCAGTCTTATTTCAGTTTGTTTGTTTTTTCAGTCATTCTTTCTTTGTTAAATCCACTTCCATGCCTGTAATTGTTTTCATTATTTCATTCAACTGTTTGTTTATGTTTTCACAGACTTCACTAAGGGATTTACCTATATCCTCTTTAAGATCTTTGAACATATTTCTAATAGCTATTTTCAAGTTTTTGTCTTGTTGCATTTCTTAGGACCTCCTGAAATAGGGTTATTGGATTCTGATGGAAGCATGTTGTCTTGGCTGTTCATGTTTGTGATTCTTCATTGGGGTAGACATCTGGAATTATGATATTCTTGGTGTTGATGTCTCATCTTTGTTGGTTGGGTGCTCCATTCTTTGGTTGCTGTTATCCTCTCTGGATTCTAGACAAGTGTGGTAGCTATGGGAAGTCCATAGTAGACAGTACTTCTGTAGCCCATGAGTAGTACAAATGAATGGATATGCCCTGAATGCAGGGCTGAGAAGTAATGAAGGAAAAGATCTGGGGCACCTGGAACTGTACCAAGAGACAGAGTCCACATAAAAAGGAAATGGGCTGGGAGGGGAGGCTCCTACAAATTGTCTATACTAGGACAAAGAACATACCTAGAAAGACATAGATGAAATGGTAGACGGACCCTGAGTCTACACCAAGAGGTGGAATCCACAGGGAATGGAGAATGGGCTGCTGAAGACAGGCTGCTGCAGTACTGAGAGTGATCATAATGGAGGACAAGAAGGAGAATAAATATCACCTACTAAGTCCTAGACTTGTGTGGCCACTCAAGGAAGTATGTCTTATTTTTTTCTGTTTTACCAAAAAATGACTTTTGAACTAGAGGCAACTATTAAGTCAGAAACTTGAGATTCAAACAAAGACCAGTGACTATTTCAAAAGATATACATTAAATAATGTATTACTGAAGCTGATGAGAAAATGCTGCATAAGTACCAGACATAGTCTTTATATAAGACAGTTTGTGTACTAGTAAATCAATATACAAATATGCTGTATGATAAAAATATACTGGCTCATATGTCTAATCCAGAACATGAGAGGCTGAGACAGGAAGAATGCCCATTGATTTGAGGTCATTTTCAGTTTCAGGCAAACCTAGGTTACAGTGAAACTCTGTCTCAAAAAAAAAAAAAAATATATATATATATAACAAAGTAATATTAGGCCTTTTACAATAGAATGATAGGTCATAATATTAGACCTAAATATTTAAATATAGATGTAAGAAACATAAACATTTTAGGTAAATTTTCAAGTCTAACTTTATGGAACTCTACTCTCAGTTGACAGTCAGGGGAGCAACTATCCAGAAAAATATACCTGCTGCAACATGACTGAAAGCTACCTAGAACATAAATTATTCATATTCCCTCTGACTATTGGACTGTGAGAAGTGGATCTACTTGAGTTTTTTGATGTTTATGCAGCAAGTACAAACATGGTGAAGGCATGATCTGTGGGAAGTCTGGTTCTATGCAATATCAGGACAATGGCATCTTGCGCATCCTCAGCATCCAAAATATGTGACCTTTTATCACAATCTCTCTGAGCCTCTACTGTGAGATGGACTCCGATGAGCTCATATAGCAACCCACTTTGATTTTATAGTTGTGTCTTCCCACTTCAAAACGTTCTCAAAGTTATGTTTCTGTATTTGCACTTTGCTTAATACTTTACAGACAACTCATCATATATACGACTCACTACATCAAGACAAAATGGGGAGAAATTCAATACCTTGATTTTATATTAAAACATTTTTGCTATTATTAGATATAGAAGCTGAAAAATTGAAAAGAGAAAATGGCATTAAGGAACTTGAGGTTTTCTGGAAGTACTTGGAACCAATCCTGAATAATGAGAAACTTGAAACGAATCTCTTTGATGTCGCTCGACTCGAGTACACTGCCAAGGCTACACATTTTCCTTCTGACTGGTCAGACAATGAGCAGATGGTGAGTCCATTGGTCAGCATGAGTGAGTGGTCCACTCACAGTCACTCATTCCACAGCTGTTCAGTAGCCACATAGCTTTTGTTGGGCTCTCTTGTCTTTGGGACAATGATGATGACAAGGGCCACTGTTGTATCATAGCCTGATTCTGTAGCTTTTAGTCTGTGGACTAATGATAATAAGATGTAGCAGATGCTGATTCTTTTATTTAATTGCAATTGGCTCTGGTTCATGCTTTGGTAATGATCTAAGTAACAATTAAAATGTGAATATGTATCACTATGGTGGTGGCAAATTTTACATCTTATTGTAGTACATGTTAATCCCTTGCGAGGTATACATTTCAGCATCAAGAGAGCTGAACTGACAGCAGAGCCTGTGGGGAGACTCCAGCCTCTGAGGGTTCTTCTGAAAGGATCTGAACAAAGCTGGATGGAGAGGATATACTTATAAAGAGACTACTTAGAGCTAAAGAGAGGAGAGGAGGAGAGGGGAGGAGAGGGGAGGGGAGGGGAGGGGAGGGGAGGGGAGAATAAGGAAGGAGAATAGGGAGGAGAAAGAACTGAGGAGAAAAGAAAAGAAAAAAATGAAAGGAGAAAGGGGAAAGAGGGATGAGAAAGTAATAAAGGTATTTGCTGTGAAATTGTGTCTCTTAGTAATATCAGAAGCTGCACCCATGAAGTCTCACTAAGATGAATGCCCAAATGTGAGCTGAACATGGACAACACCAGTGAACATACCAAACCAGACGAGGGAAAGCCCACGAGGCATCAACCCTACACAACAAGCCATAGGCAACCAATAAATGCTAGAGTTGGGTCAAGTGGTCTCCCCAGGGAAAGCACAGTGGTTGTCCAATGCCAAATGATCAGCCCTGAAAACGTCCTCACATTCCTATTTTGCCTTTCTCCTTCCTCCTTTCTACACCTGATGCAGAAAAGGATCTGCTTCCATCTGCCTTTTACTGGTGCTTTTTACATTGAGTCAATACAGTTCCCTATCCCAGAGATACTGTTTTTTCCAATGATGGAAGACTAAAAATGTTCCTTCTTCTTATGTCAAGGTGATATTTGTGGAAAATCTTTTTCCTTGGAATTCTAAATCCCCTCATCAAAGCCAGTGTTCTAGTTTTGGTAGGTGTTTTTCCCCCTTGTGCACATTATCTACAACATTTACAACTTAGAGCAACATTTTTTCCTATCATTTAAATCAAGATATGGCTATATACCTTCCAAGAATTGGGGTCTGGTGAGAATTCTCAGTCTCTAAAGTCCTTCTTGCACAAGCATAAGGACCCAAGTTTGGATCCCTAGCACCTACATAAAAATTGGAAGTGTCAGTACACACCTGTAATCCTGGCACCAGAGGGTCAGTGGTAGGAAGAACCCTAAAGGTCACCGGGCAGCCAGACAAGTCAATCAATGAGCTCCAGTGAGAGACCTCATCTAAAAAAAAAAAAAAAAAAAAAAAAGCTGAAAAGCACTTGACACCCAATGTTAACCTGTGGTCTCTCAACATCTGTGTGCATGTGAACACACACACACACGAGAGAGAGAGAGAGAGAGAGAGAGAGAGAG